TTGCATTATTAGGAAATTAACATTGAAAATACAATGTTGTAAATGGGAAAAATGAAAGTATTATGCTATAAGACATACATAAAAAGGAAGTGTGTAGCTATTACTTGTTTCTCAACAGGTTTCGTGGCAACATGATCAACATTTGTTTCAACCACAGTTACAGATCTCTTGGTAATAACTTTTTTTTTTACCAATAGCTAACTGGGGGTCCAAGTTTCATGTAGATGCTCGATATTGGGACATTTTTCATGGAACACAATGAACATTGGTAGTAATACTTATTTCAAAGGATGAGAAGAAAAGGCTTGACCTTTCTTATTATTGTCAGTAAAATGTCTTTCCCTATTATGCCCTTGTGAAAAAAAAACATGGAAAACCACAAAGCTGAACAAACAAAAAAACGTGAAATCCCATTTTCTAGGGACTAAAAATTTAAAAGATGTCTTCATATTTAAATAGACAGCCATCCACCTCATTTCAGTGACTCAAGTGAATAAGCAAACACATGATGAAAAAGAAGAAATTAAAACTATAAAAAAAAAATAATGAAGAGATGAATTAAGAAGATATTGGACATTATACTTTAAAATTGCGACCCTCTTTTAAAGTAATATGCAATAATAAACAAAAAATAGAGTTTGTTGCATGTTTTATCACAAAAACTGCCAATAAAAAGTAAAATTTAGGATAAGTTTTCTGGACAGTTTTTTGATGATTCTGTTTAGACAAAATTGCAAAAATGGTCCCTGTGGTTTGCATTTTTTCAGGAAAAAAGTCCAAACCACGAGTTTTTTGGTTTTGTGGTCCTTTTGGACTGGTTTGTTTGTGAGAATGGTCCCTATACTTAACACCCGTTAAAAAAAATCCGTTAACCCCCTCATGTGCCTTGCACGTGAGGGTATTTTTGTCTTTTTACTTACAGTGTCAACACTTCCTTCTACCTTTTATCCCTCATTTACAATCCCAAACACCCGTCAACTCCCCACCTCCCTCCTTCTTCCTTCTGCTCCATTAAACCTGCAAAAAAAAAGTCGTTATCGAAAGAACCTAATCGAAGCAAAAGGAGACAAGGTCATACTTTAAAGTCGAAATGGTGTACGTAATGTGGCAGATCAGACCAAAAAATGAAGTTGTCGACGTATCATCCTTATATGGTAAGTTGCTCTGTTTTCTTAAACATTCCTATTTTTCATTTTACCCTTGATTTATACTAAAATCCGCCAAATTTTGACTTTGTTATCATGTACAATTTTGACTTGTAGCGGGTGCACCCACATGGTTTAGTATTAAGCTTCATCATGGTGGGAAGTTTACTAAGTTACCTGACATAAAGTATACTGGAGGTGAAGTGCGTTATGTTGATTATGTGGACATAGATGAGTTTTCTGTACATGAACTTGATGCCATAATGCTTGACCTAGGTTACCCAGACCCACGGATGATTGAATTGAGTGTTGAATCCCCAGTGATATACTACCATTTCAGGATACCCAATGGTGACTTTCAATTTGGTCTTAGAGCTTTAGGGAATGATCAGGATGTTATCAATCTTTCTAAATTTATTCAAAATAACAAGTTGATTGAAGTGTACACAGAACATGGGAAGACAAATCTACTCACATACTTCATGTCTCCAAATGCAAAGGGTAAAGTTGTCATTGAGGAATTACCAGAAAATGATGATCAAGGGGCTAAATATGAGGCTGAAGTTCATGTAGAATCTCCATTGAGAAATATGAACCATGTCAATGATGAACCAATTGGTGAGTACATGTCTTTGATTCTTTTTGGGAGTAAAACTGATGCATTCTCTCCAGAGTATAGAAGGGGTAGAGTTGGGAATTCAAAAAGAGAGGAAGGTTCTTGTAGCAAGAGGCTTAATTTAGAGGATATTGATGATTTAAAAGAGAAGGAAAACACTAATGAGGGTGTTAAGGAGGTTCATGAGGCTGCAACTGTTGTTGAAGGATGCTACAATCCATTTACTTCAAATATTGCTAATGTAGGGGATGAGATGATTGGGGTTCATGATAATGACCATATTGATGGATGCTACAACACCCCACCCATTAATGATGATGAACAATATAATGAACTTTTTGACAACCTTATGGAAAATTTAAATGGAAGTGATGAGTATGTTGAAGAGTATGAAGGGGATGTTGAATCTGAAGAGAGTGATGAAGAGTATGAAAAGGATGAAGGTGATGATCATGATGGGAAACAATCAGAAAATGAAGATAAAGTGGATGACATAATGGATGAGGAGAACAATATAGAAGATGTTGATGTGGACATGGCAGACTTCTTTCTAAATGTTGAAAGTGATGTTGAAGGAGCATGTATTAATGATGGTCATGAACCTGAAGATATGGAAGTGATCAACAATGAGGAGTTCGAATCATTGGATGAAGGATCAGACCAAGACAGAGAAAGAAGAGCTCTCATAAGAAATTTGGGAAAAGAAAAAAGGTGCAACCTTGGGTCAGTACATATACAGTCATTCTCAGTGGGGCAAAAGTTTAAAAGTAAAAAAGAATTAAAGGAGTTAATTGATGTGCACGCACTAGAAACAAGAAGGAATCTATTCTTTAAAAAAAATGACAGTCAAAGGCTTAGGGCACAGTGCAGAGGAGTTGTACCTGTCATCAATAAAGGTCAAGTGGGGACTAAACCTACCACTTCAAAAAGCAAGGGCAAAGAAGTAAAGACACAAAAAGAAACATGTGGTTGGTATATACATGCATCTAGGTCAAACCCCGAATCTGATTGGTTTATAAGGACCTTAAACCAAACTCATACATGCTTACAAACAAGAAAACTCAGAGCTTGTACTGCTTCTTTAATCTGCAAGAAAATCATAGATCAAGTTGAGGCAGATCCGAAGATTCCTTTGAGAGCCATACAAGATCACTTTCAAAAGACCTACCAGGTGGGTATTTCAATGGATAAGGTGTTTAGGGCAAAAGATATGGCAAGAAAGCATGTAACTGGGGACTACACAAAACAGTTTGAGTTGTTGAGGGACTATGCTCTTGAACTTCAAGCTACAAACCCAGACACAACAGTCAAAATAGATGTGTGTCCTAATGGCAACCCTGCATCCCCAACAAGGCAGTTTAGAAGGATTTATGTATGCTTGGGTCCACTGAAAAAAGGTTTCAAAGCATGTCTTAGAGACTTAGTAGGTTTGGATGGTGCCTTCATGAAAGGCCCATTCCCTGGTCAGGTTCTTACAGCAGTTGGTCTAGATTCCAACAATGGAATTTATCCCTTAGCCTATGCAATTGTTGAGTCTGAAAACACAGCTAGCTGGAAGTGGTTTTTAGAAAACCTTGGGGATGACTTGGAGCTTGGGAGCAACTCAAACTATACTTTCATAAGTGACAGGCAAAAGGTAAATTAAAACTCATCAATTGATCATTTAGATTGTGTTTTTTTACCAAGAAATTAATTCTAATTATTGTATGTTGAGTCATGTAGGGATTACAAATTGCAGTTGATCAATTGTTTCCCAATGCTGAGCATAGGTATTGTATTAGACATATTCATGACAATATGAGAAAGAAGTGGGGGCAAACTGAGTACAGGGACCATTTATGGAGGTGTGCATCAGCAACCACCATTCCTGAGTTTGAACATTTGATGAAAGAGTTTAGTGAGTATGATAAGGAGGCATGTCAATGGTTGAAGCAAATTCCTCCTGTACATTGGGCAAGGAGTCATTTCTCAGGTAATTGTATATGTTTGCATATGGTAAAGATTATGTGTTTCAGTTATTTATCAGCATTAATTGTATGTTATTGTAATGTGCAGGAAGAGCTGTTTCTGATGTGTTGATTTCAAACATGTGTGAAGTGTTTAATGGGAAGATAGAGAAAGGCAGGGACAAACCTGTAATTTCATGTTTAGAGTTCATTAGGGAGTATCTAATGAAGAGGATATGCAATGTCATGAAGGCAATGAAGAAGGCTAAAGGTCCACTAACACCTACAGCAACAGACATCCTAGATGCAAGGAAAAAAGGTGCTTCACAATATATTGCTAGGTGGAATGGGGCAAACAAGTATCAAGTCACTGCAGCATTGCAAGATCAACATGTGGTGGATGTTAGGAACCAAACCTGTACTTGCAGAAAGTGGGAATTAATGGGAATACCTTGCAGGCATGCAATTGCAACTCTGAATGAAATGAGCAAAGACCCTGAGGCTGAGCTTGACATTTACAAGTGGGTACACAAGGTGTATTGGCTAGAGACATGGCAAAAAGCTTATTCATTTAAGGTGGAACCAATTAAAGGGAGACCCATGTGGCCTAAAAGTAATTGTCCAACAAAGCTAATCCCTCCTCCACATCACACTCAGGTGGGAAGGCCTAAGAAAAAAAGAAGACAAAGTGAGGGTGAAAGGTTAAGCAAAAGGCAGAAGGCAAGTGAAGGTGATGGAGTCAATGAGATGCAAGGAGAAAATTCCCAAGGGCCAAGAAATGATGGAGTGCAGAAGCTATCAAGGAAACATGTTAGTGTTACTTGTAGCAAATGCAAGAATAAAGGACACAACTCTAGGACCTGTAAAGGGCAAGGAGGGAATCAATCTAAGAAGTGATTGTGGTTATTTGTTGTGGTGCAATGACTATTTAGTTTCTTGTTGTTAAAAACTGTTTGTTTTTGAAAACTTTAGTTATGGTTTGATGATGTGGTTATGTATGGTGCACAGACACTTGTATGCTTAACTTGGTAATGGTTTTTGGTTCCACTCATGTGGTTAATGGAATGTTCATTTTGGTAAATTTATGACATGTATTTTGGTAATGTACTTTTGTTACATTTTGGTTCTATTTATGTGCTTATATCTGACAACTGATACACATTTTGAACACAACTGATACACATTTTGGAATTCATTACAAACATGATGAAGTCAAATTACAACAAAATTATACCATTTTTACCCTGCATCACTTGATCAACAAAAATCCCCACATTTGCCTAACCCTATCCCTTACATAGACCAAGTACTAAAGATAACAATCACAAACATAAACCAACTTGCACATAAATACATCTTCAGCTTGAAACCTTCATCCTTCAATGCATCACACCTTGCCTCCAACATGTTGTTCCTGCTCAAAAGTCCATTGCACTGTTCCTGTAACATGTTGATACTTCTTACCAGCCCATTACATCTTTCCTCCAATGTATTTATGTTTCTTAGAAGACCAGGTATGATGGTTTTACTCCTAGCACAAATAGGTGGGTCAACCCACCCGATAAACCCACAAACAGAATCCTTAGTAGGGCAAGCATAAAACCTCCTGCCGGGATTCAGTGGTGTCCAAGACGTTTTCACCAAAGCAAGCTTTCCACAAAAACAAACCACCATTGTTCGATTGCAAGTCAGGAAAGGAGAAATGGAAGATAATAGTCGTTGGGGAAGAACACTTAAGAACGTTGGGGAAGAAGATTTGTTGGGGAAGAAGCTGGGAAAAGAAAACGATATATAAAGGATGTTTTATTTTTCCATATGCAAAAATGGTCCCTATAAGTAAAAGGACAGAAATACCCTCACGTGCAAGGCACATGAGGGGGTTAACGGATTTTTTTTTAACGGGTGTTAAGTATAGGGACCATTCTCACAAACAAACCAGTCCAAAAGGACCACAAAACCAAAAAACTCGTGGTTTGGACTTTTTTCCTGAAAAAATGCAAACCACAGGGACCATTTTTGCAATTTTGTCTTCTGTTTAAGCAATCGTTGTGGTGAAATTTCGTTTTGTAGTCTTTACCGTATAAAACATCATGATAAAACCTTGATTCAAAAAATATAGTAATAACCTATTGTTTAAAATAGGAAAAAAAAACTTACCCAACATTTGTTGGTCAAAAAATACATTTTGTACATGCCAACTTGCCAAATTGTGCCCATGGAAAGAAATATAGCCCACCAGATTAATGAGCTTGAAAATTAGTTTCATGTTTGAACTCACAATGCTTATATAGTAGATAATACTTGAAATAGAGGTATTTGGATACGATGGTGAAGTTGGATTAGTCTCCTCATTAACATGGGTAATTTCGACATTTGACTTTGTCTTCTCCTCATCCTTATCGGCAGAAGTAGGAATTTGAGAAACAACTTCTTTAGATGCCTTCCTAGAAATGATGGCAACTTGTATATCTGCTTCAACTTCTTGGAATTGGCTTCCAAACAAGTCTACAAGCTCATAAGGAAGAACAATAAGTAAGCATTCTGTTGATTACCATTAGCAAAATCGGAGAACTCTTGAAACTATCGTTTAATATCCATTCAAAACTTCTTGCTTCGAATATTAGTTTCTCAAATATTAATTGTTCCGATATTTTTTTTGTTATTAGCTATTAGATCCTGCCTAATGACAAAAACTGATGTCCATTGAAACTCATTTATCGAAATAAGAAAGAATACAAACCATTATTTTTAGAAGAAAAGTAAAACTGAAAAGAGAAATAAACCAAACTTCTCCATTCTTCAACATAAGTCTCATTCTCCACCACCATCACTGTCCTTTAAAACAAACATTTAAAAATCAAAAACTAAATAGAAAAAAACCGAGGAAATATAAGATCCTGAAAAATCGGTGAACAAACCCAATGCTACTCCTTTTGGGCTTGATTCAAAAAGTCAAAATTGAATGACAGTAAAGCTTACACAAATATGTTTTAACTTTGAACCTTTTGAAGCTCTTTCCTTATCGTTCTCTTCTAAGCCAAAATCAAAAATAACTTCTTACAATTACTTTATCCTTCAACATAGAGAATCTCCGACAATAACTTACAAAAAAACACCAAAGTCCAAGAAATCAAGAAATTAGAAGAGGGAAGCATTAAGACGTCAAATATAAAAAGAGGGGTCAGATCGAAAAGAAATAAAAAATCAAGAAATTAAGATGGACCAAATCTAGAACCCGATGTCGATAAATCCAAGAAATTTCTTGAACAAACAAATGTTCTTGCGTCGTTCAGAGTTATTATTAGGCTTCTTTTCAAACTAAGAAAAACGTATACCGTGCATTTCTCTCGGTAAGAAGAAGAGAGGAATCATAAGAGAAAGAGATAAGGAGAGTGAAATAAAAATTACCTAGGTTTTTATCAGAGCAAGCAATAGATAAAAGGACTGAGTTAAGAAGCCCCATACATATCCGATTCTTTATCTTCTTCATCATATCGTCGAATCGACCACTTCTTGAATACTTGCAATCGGTAGAGTAAAACAGAGTCATGGGATATGTGATTCACAACATGTGAGCCTCTAAAGCATTAACAGAAAACAAACAAAATCATCCTAAAATATAAACATTTTAGTGCTCAAATAGAAAACAAAAAGAGATCTTACTAACATTTGTGTGGGCCTCTATTTAAGAAGCAATATCGAAAGAGGAAGGGTAAGAAAGAAAATCAGGATTTTTTTAGAAGAAACTATCCTTCTTCAACCCGCCTGTCATCCATCTCACCTGCAACACAACGAAACACCAAATCAAAATCATTAAAACGAAAGAAAATCAAACTTTTTTTTTCTAGAAAAAAAAAGAAAAGAAAACTCATTGTCTTCATCTAAGAGAGGGAGAAAATCGATTAGGGTTTATAAGGGAAATACTTCATGGCAGTGGGATTTATAGCATGGTTTATAAGACGGAGGGAACAAAGACGCATCTGCTATGGGAGGGATATTTGAATCAGCTACAGCTACAATATTTAAAGGATATTTGTTAAAGCGTATTAGGATGAAAATGTTTTAAATTTTGAACGACCCTTAAATTGAGGATTCTGTTGAGAAATATAAAACGCCAAAATAAATATTAAAATTTAATATTATTTTATTAATGGTTGTTTGTACTGTTAGCTTAATCGTTTGGACGTCTTAAAAAAATAATATTATTATATTCAAATTATTTTTACAAATAGTAAGATTTGTTTTATAAGATAGTATATATATATATATATATATATATATATATATATATATATATATATATATATATATATATATATATGGGAAAAGGGAATATACATTATAGCCTCACCTAAGCTTAGGTACTAAACCTCTTGAAAATACATTGTTTTACTATATAAAGATTACAGTTAATGGATTCACGATTAATACTTCAAGATGTAAATTCAAGATCTACACAATAGGGTTTAGGGTTAAGGTTAAGGGTTTAGGGTTTAGATTTAGGGTTTAGGGTTTAGGGTTTAGGATTAGGGTTTAGGGTTGAAGGTTTAGGGTTTAGGGTTTAGATTTAGGGTTTAGGGTTTAAATTTAGGGTTTAGGATTTAGTAATGTTCACTTGGGTGAAGTAATAAATGATAGTTGAGGAAAGAAAACAAAGTTGGTAAAACAATAATGAAATAAAGAAATGTTATGGAAGATGATATATTTACCAAATGAAACCAAACCAGACATATTTAGCATGTTAAAACGACATATTTTAGAGGTTTAGTACCTAAGCTTAGGTGGGGCTGTAATGTATATTCCTTATCCCCTATATATATATATATATATTATATATATATATATATATATATATATATATATATATATATATTAATCGTAAAATGTAGGAGCCTGAGATTTCGAGAGGGCTGGAGCAGTCGCCCAACTTGTCCTGCCTCTAAGGTCGGTCATGTCCATATACCTTCAACATTATATACATATATATAGAAAGTTACTGCTATAATAAATGATTTATGAGCCACACCTGAAAATAAATGTATAGATAAATATACTTGTCCCCGTTAAAATGTTCGACACCAAGATCTTCATCCCATATAAAAATATAATCACAAGCAGCCATAATATTTGGATGCATAAACATCTTTGCATACTCATACCAAAAAAAATTAAAAAAGGAAAAAAGAAAAGGATAACAAATATAAAAACTTGACTACTATAATCTAGAAAGCATAAAAAATGAAAAGGATGCTTTTTATTTTCTTTTATTACAACATTTTTACATATAAAGTGTTTCTTAGAAACACATATGGACTTACTTTCGGAATGGAAAGATCGTTGAAAGTAAAGAAACGTAGGTTATTATCTTATGAACATGTATTCTTCATTACCTATAGTATTATATGTTAAATTTCATTAATTTGGAAAGTTATTAATCAATTAAAACAAATAACATACAAAATTACCGATATCGACTTTAAACAAAATAAGATGTGAATTTGTATATAATTCATTTGAGAACAACTCAATTGTAATGGAAACCGAGTTAAAAAGATACTAAAATGAAGCCAAAACTTGCTTATACTACCGTCTTTGACATTTCAAGTGGTGGAAACAAAATGTTTTGTGGTTCTTAACTGTCTCGGATGACCATATGTAACTTTTATTAATTTATGCATTTTTCGAGTTTTTTTTATTTAATCTTCAAGTTATATTTTTTATAACGTTTTATTGTTAGATATTTTGGCAATATAAATTTCGATTATGGTATCTGAGCCTTCATTAAATGCGGAAGATTGTGTACTAACAAACTTTTCAACATCAATAGTGAGTCTATAATTTGCACCCAATATTGGGTAAAAAAGGTTAAGGAAGCTGATTACAGACGACATTGATGATATTTTAAAGAAAATTTAGTTAATAACTTTAATCTTCTTGTTTTATTTGTAACAAATTATAAACTTGATATTAACTTTGTTTCTTTAATTGTTTTATTTTGTAAAGATTGAAAAGACAATACCGAAATTGAAAAGGAAAATAAAAATTGGCTATGAATGATTAGAGTTTATATGTTTGGATACTTGGTTTTTATTGTTTATGGATGGTTTTTTTTGTTGTTTACGAAATGATTTTTATTGTTTATTTATTTATTTATTTATTTATTTGAATATAACACATAAAAAAGCACATATTTTCAAACACCTTGATACCACTAAGATCAAAATTTCTTTTGTGGTTTTTATCAAGGTTCTAAATAACGTAAGACGTTATTTGGCGACAATGTAAAGCCTCAAGCTGTTCCGAGCCTCAAGCTTTACCAAATGAAACCAAACCGGACATATTTAGCATGTTAAAAAGACATATTTTAGAGGTTTAGTACCTAAGCTTAGGTGAGGCTGTAATGTATATTCCTTATCCCCTATATATATATATATATATATATATATATATATATATATATATATATATATATATATATATTATATATATATATATATATATTATATATATATATATATATATATATAGCCTGAGATTTCGAGAGGGCTGGAGCAGTCGCCCAACTTGTCCTGCCTCTAAGGTCGGTCATGTCCATATACCTTCAACATTATATACATATATACAGAAAGTTACTGCTATAATAAATGATTTATGAGCCACACCTGAAAATAAATGTATAGATAAATATACTTGTCCCCGTTAAAATGTTCGACACCAAGATCTTCATCCTATATAAAAATATAATCACAAGCAGCCATAATATTTGGATGCATAAACATCTTTGCATACTCATACCAAAAAAAATTAAAAAAGGAAAAAAGAAAAGGATAACAAATATAAAAACTTGACTACTATAATCTAGAAAGCATAAAAAATGAAAAGGATGCTTTTTATTTTCTTTTATTACAGCATTCTTACATATAAAGTGTTTCTTAGAAACACATATGGACTTACTTTCGGAATGGAAAGATCGTTGAAAGTAAAGGAACGTAGGTTATTATCTTATGAACATGTATTCTTCATTACCTATAGTATTATATGTTAAATTTCATTAATTTGGAAAGTTATTAATCAATTAAAACAAATAACATACAAAATTACCGATATCGACTTTAAACAAAATAAGATGTGAATTTGTATATAATTCATTTGAGAACAACTCAATTATAATGGAAACCGAGTTAAAAAGATACTAAAATGAAGCCAAAACTTGCTTATACTACCGTCTTTGACATTTCAAGTGGTGGAAACAAAATGTTTTGTGGTTCTTAACTGTTTCGGATGACCATATGTAACTTTTATTAATTTATGCATTTTTCGAGTTTTTTTATTTAATCTTCAAGTTATATTTTTTATAACGTTTTATTGTTAGATATTTTGGCAATATAAATTTCGATTATGGTATCTGAGCCTTCATTAAATGCGGAAGATTGTGTACTAACAAACTTTTCAACATCAATAGTGAGTCTATAATTTGCACCCAATATTGGGTAAAAAAAGATTAAGGAAGCTGATTACAGACGACATTGATGATATTTTAAAGAAAATTTAGTTAATAACTTTAATCTTCTTGTTTTATTTGTAACAAATTATAAACTTGATATTAACTTTGTTTCTTTAATTGTTTTATTTTGTAAAGATTGAAAAGACAATACCGAAATTGAAAAGGAAAATAAAAATTGGCTATGAATGATTAGAGTTTATATGTTTGGATACTTGGTTTTTATTGTTTATGGATGGTTTTTTTGTTGTTTACGAAATGATTTTTATTGTTTATTTATTTATTTATTTGAATATAACACATAAAAAAGCACATATTTTCAAACACCTTGATACCACTAAGATCAAAATTTCTTTTATGGTTTTTATCAAGGTTCTAAATAACGTAAGGCGTTACTTGGCGACAATGTAAAGCCTCAAGATTTTCCGAGCCACGTCGTTTCTAAGGCGTGACTTAAGGTGACAATTTTGTATATAATTCATATTTTTATATGTATTTTCAACTATTATTTATTTTTATACATATATATAAGTCAAGGCGGCGTTTTGGTAAAGCTTGGCGGCACATACAAGCCTTGAAGTTATGGCGCGCCATGGTGGAGCCATAACGAGCTTTTTAGAATCTTGGTTTTTATTATTAACTAATAGTTTTTGTTTACTAGTTGTTTTTATTGTTATGAATGGTTTTGTTTACGATTAACATTTTAGGTATATATTTGAATTTAAAATGTGTACTCTCACCATTTGATCATATTCAGTCTTGGTTGTACCTTATATTTTGGTTTGTTATTCGGTCCTAGAAATGCAACTCAATGTTTTTGGTACCCTTCCATTCGGTCATGGTCCGAAACCTAACTCATCCCTACACCCAATTTAGTCATTTTAATGTTTAATCATTTTTTGCATTTAATTTTAATCCTAGGCATTATTGCAACATATATCATTATTCCTTGGTAGAAGTTAATGTTTCAATTCAACATTATATAAAAGTTTTAAAAGACGATTGATAAAAAAAATATACACATCATGTGATATTTGCATATGATTCTATCATATATTTGAATTGATGGGAAAGAATCAATCATGTAATCACTCCTATGTAAAAACCCAAAAGTTTAAGGGCTCAAATGAAATTTAGTATAAATTAAATTGGGTAGCGTTTGGCGATTTGAAATCGAATAAAAAACTTTTGCCTCTTCTCCGTAGAAAGGCTTCAATGGACCCTTGAGCCGTTTGAAGAGAAGCGAGGCTGTTCTGTTTCACGGCAATCCTCCTCCCTCTTTCTCCGGCGTATCTTCTCGTTGACTTGTCAACGCCAACATCTTCATTTTCGGTACGACTCACTGACCTTCATTACATACTCGCATCCAGTTTCCACGAATTGGAGCTTACTGAAGCTACTTATAAACTCTGATGTTTGACTAACTTACATTCATGCTATCTTAGATTGAATGCCAAAACGCTTTGTGGGTATCTTAGATTTTAACATTTTCGAATGTGGGTTGATATTTGTTGGCCAGATCCATTTTGGGACAGATTTTGATTCACATGGAGTCGCTCTATTTGTTAAAACGGGAGTTGAACATGAACATGAACTATGAAGTTCTTGTATAGTTCATTTTCGTGAATAGTTAGGCTATGTCCTCACCTACTACTTACATATCCTCGATCTTTGCAATTTTGGTGATGACGCTCTAAGTAACCCTATAGTTGTATAGAGATATCTTTTTGGACTTCTTCCTACGGATTAAATGAACACTATGCGACTATTTCCATATTCGATGCTATAACAGTCATAATTTGATGTAGAATTCCATTTTTATATGATTTCATTTCCTTTTTGAGTACTGATCAACGGGGAAACTAGTGGCTAATCATTGATTGAGATATAATATGTGTCTTTAAGGTTACATTTTGGTTTATTACTAATCCACTCTTTCCTTCATTCACTAGAAATGTCTTTTATTGAAGATCATAAATGAAGAAGTAACTTATATGATGGATATCCCCCCAAGGTCTTTCCAATAGCTGAACTAGAATTTCTATACCTTAAACATTCATACAAGAAAATGACAAAGTAATTACTCTCAGCATTTGTGAATTCTTAAAAGCTTGAGTGGGGCATTTTGTAGATTTATCAAGAGTCAGGACTTTTCTGTTTGCTTTGAGTTTTGCTTGAATTTTAGTTTTTTTTTTTTTCAGGTATTTCAAATTTGAATATGTTCTGCTTTCTTATCAAATTGGTAAATAATTAACATTGGTTCAGGTATCTACTACAAAATCAGCCAACTTATGGACAAGGATCACAAAAGAGTGCATTATCTAACTGATAGCCATGAACAAGAATGCCATAAGGAAAAAGAATGTTATTTTGAGGTATTTTCTCTTTCATTTTTCTCATTTTCAAAATCTTAATAGAAACATGACTTAATCAGGTAAGCTATAATCTATATTTGAGTATTCCTTTTGACTTAATACAGAAAAAACGAAGGCTTTCATACACATTAACAAAATTCATTAGCTATGCTCATTTTTCACAATCGAATAAAATTCATGAAAAATTGTTAATGCAGAGTCCAGGTGTTGAGATTCTTGAAACATCAAACAGAAAGTCAACTCGTTTACAAATGAAGAACAAATTATCATCATGCTCACAAGCTATATTCAAATCTCACAAGAACACTTCCAAATATACAATGAAATCTTCTTCAAAAACAATCCTAGATGGAAACACTCCCATTTCTGATATCAAGATTAATGAAAAAAATGGTGTATTTTTAACAGATACTGCCTCCATGAAATCTTCTACAGTAGTTCCATCTTTTAAATATCATATAGGGGCAAAAGATGGGATTCAGCTTATTGTTGATTTGAATTTAAAGAGATCTGATTGGTTAAGAAGTATGGAAAAAACAGTTTGTGTATGCCAAAATCATTTAAAGCCCAAATTTGAAAGCTTTAGGCAGGAGGTTGAATGTTTAGGAGGCAAAAGTAGTTCAACGGACAAAAATACCCTTTCAGATGCTAGCTTCAACTCTTATCCCCAAAATAAGTTTTCAATTAAATCCATGAGTAATGAAATTGGAAAATCTCTTCCTTCAAAACATCATTGGTCAAAGTTTGACCAAAGCTCAGAATATTTGGAAAATGTGACATTTTCTTCTGAGAAAGATCCGTCATGTTCTAGAAGGGGAAATATATATTTGGAAAATGAGGTATGTTGACTCTTGTAAAGCTTCTTATAGGAATTTTGAGTTAAATGCAAGAAATTATAATTTATATTTTAAACCCTTGGGAATTTGTATTATTTGACAAAGGGTATAACATTATCACTCTTACTTTTGCAGGAAAGGATCAATTCTACACAAGGAATTGAAGTTTTAGGGTATAAATAATCTTCTTTTTGTTTCCCATTAAGTTAACGAGGGCAAATTCGTAAATTTGTTACACGACTTAAAGTGGAAAGCTTTATTTCCTTGTGTTTCTGTATAAGTCGTTCTTTCTGCATTGAGCCAAAAGTATCAAACATCAATTTAGTAATTGTGTTGTTTTAATGAATTTGTTACAGAGAGGAAAATGTGTCTAAAAGAAAGAAAGTTTATCACAAAAGTGGTCAAATTCATGGTCAATCTCATGAAAGAATTTTAAGAAGCACAAAATTATTTGGTGGGGAGATTCTTCAAAGTGGTGGACTTGTGATAAGGCGATCATTTCGTCTTCATTCCAAGGTTTTTAATTTTTTTCTCCTTACAAGTTCATTATAAAATATTATTTTTATTTTTATTTGTTGAATTTAGAATGTACTAATTTACAATTTCTACCTTAAAAGGAGTTCCCATGAAGCATACGATTTAGGTCGTTTGGTGTTTGATGTTATGTTGAAATGATTCATCTTTTTGATGGTTTAAAAATGTTTCAAAGGATAAAATGGTCATTTGCTTCCATCATTAAATAAAGTCTTTACGCTAATTTTCAATCGTGAAATCTAGTTTCCTTTTAAAAATATCTTACTGGGGACTAGACAAGTTTTTTGGATTATTTTCAAGAATGAGGATTAGAAGGGCATTATTGCAATTTTTGTCATATTGACATGAGTCAATACAAGGTTGTCATGTTATGTGATATGTCAGTGCATCTTATTTCTTTGACTTTCTCTAGTAAGTAAAAACAGATCATGACTAATGATGTGAAATCTTGAAATTTGTTTGTGCAGGCTGTTACATGATTGATTTGAAGGTGCTCAAGTTTTCTGATTTACACATTTACCCTTACACACAAATAATGAAAATTTATATAAATTTGTTGGAGGTTTGGTTTGATGTAGCATTTGTACTTTTTTTCAAAATTTATGCTTGGTTGCTAGGCGGACGATTATAACAATTATAAACATAAACACGATGATATTAACATTTGGTTTTTTTTTTTTTTTTTTTTTTTTTTTTTTTTTTACATGTAACGCAATTTGGACGCAAATATAGATTTTATGTCTTCAAATTCCTTTAAATGTTTTTAGTGGGATATAAATTATCCTAATTAGGATAAACAATAAATACATCATAAAACTTAGAGTAAATTACACGAATGGTCTCTATGGTTAGGGGTAATTTGCGCGCTTAGTTCCTAACTTATTTTTTTAATTCGGAAGGTCTTTAGTGTTTGTTTTTGTTACGCGCTTGGTCCCTACTGTTCGTTTTTATTACGCGTTTTGTCCCTATTTTACCTAAAAATACTATAATTTAAATAGAGAAAAATGTGGGGTGGATAAAGTAAGGTGAAGGGGATGGGTTTGGGGGTGTATTTAGTTAAATAAATTAAAAAATCAAGGGTAAAACAGTCTTTTTAGGTAAGACGGGGACCAAACGCGTAACAAAAACAGACAGTAAGGACCTTCTGAGTTAGAAAAATAAGTTAGGGACCAAACGCGCAAATTACCCTAAACCATAGGGACCATTCGTGTAATTTACTCTAAAACTTATGGTGTAATTTACTCTAAAACTTATGGTTACAGGAAGATATTAAAACACTACTAGCAAGAAACTAAAAATTACAGAATTATAAGCCAATTTGAACTTCAATTATCGCATCAAAATTCTTGTTGACCCCCCAAATCAAGAACCATAGAATCAAACATAAGAATCTGAAAAATCTAAGAGGACCACCTTATCTAGCATTGAACATAATTCAAGCAATTGATGGGGATGAGGTAGATGCCTCTCAGGGGTAGGAGACAGATGATCAGATAGGAGTTTCCTTAGGTAGCTATCGACCTACAGTTATCCTTCAACTTTAGTGTTTGTTGGAGAAGAGGTGAACATAGGTACACTCACTTGTTGTTTTGTTCTCTATCACGAATTGGATCCCTCGGTAGCTAAGTCGGACATAACAACATTGTACGAGGATATTACCCATATTTGAGGAGAAGAAGATGAAGTCGTTCAAGAGATGTATAACCTTAATCCATGTCATTTAAGGGGGGTTATATGTTGAGTAATGTTTTAATTACGTGATTAGCTTGGTCATCTTTAATTTTGGTAAGTGGTAAGTTTTTATCCTAATTTTCAAAGTTCGTAAATAACAATATAATAACTATTCCAACACCCTTCAAGATCAGTTATAACTCTTATTTATTATCTAAACTACAATAAAAGCACTAACAGTAAAATAAAGTCTTTGACTAAGAGCTTCATGTGTAACATCCTTGTAGAGCTTCTTTGTCATCTTCCTATCTAAGCCTTCTTTATCTTCTCCATTGCCACTCATTATATTATGGGTTGCGCACATTTAAAATTTTAATTGGGTAAGCCTAGAGCTTATGAAGTTCGTGTTGCACATATATGTCTCTCAATTTAAAACTTAATAGTAACATGTTTGTCCCTAAATAGTACACCAATCGATGGATAACACACAAATTTAGGTTGATAATCTGTTTCCAAAATATAGAGAAAAGACCAAAAACTTATTATGATTTAACACACTTTGTGAATAGCTCTCACAAAGAAAACTAATTATTTACATTCGGAAAGACTTACAAAAATTGAAATTTTTTATCAACACAACAATACTAAGAAGAAGACACTTCTATTAACAATCTTCAAATGCTTTTACATCAAGAAATGTCTCTCTCTAATCCTATATGAATCAAACTAACCTAGCAACGATGTAACATCCTAAGTTCAGAAGCAAGAAGTTGAAGGGTACTATATGAAAATAAAGGAAGGGACTCGGCGAGTAGGTCTCTTGACTCGCAGAGTCGAAGCGAGTGTCGGGCATGTGATTAAGTGGCCTGACTCGCCGAGTTGGCGGCTGGACTCGACGAGTCGGTGCTGGATGAGGAAAAGCCCTAATCTTCGGGTTTGCACCCTATTTAAAGGACTTAATGTCCTCCACTCAGCCCCCTTAGCCCCCTTTGATATCTAGAAACCCTAATTCGTTTGTGAGAAGCCTTGGAAGCAAATTGATGTGATTTGTGAAGGGATCCTGAAGATCAAGAAGCTTGGATCAAGGAGACTTGAAGAGATCCGGATTATACTTCAGTTGGAGCATATATTGGAGGTAATATTTTGTTGCTTGGGCTCTTTTGTATCTAGATCTACTATCATTTGAGATTTGGGGGCATTTTTGGTATGATTGAGAACTATTTCGCGTTAGAGGCTTGGATATGAGGTTGCTACTTCAGATCTAGGCTTGTGATGGTCCAAAATGTCATAAAGCTTCTGTCTAAGAGTTATTGGTGAAGCCCCTTTGTCTTAAACCCAAGCCCTAGAGTGTTGTGCGCCTATATCTCCTTGGTGTCACGTAAAGTTTGCCACTTTATGTGAGGGTTGGACTGTAGAAGAGTGGATCTATGGATTGGAGCCCCTGCATGGCTCGAAAAGCCAATGTATAGATTGAGAACCGGAGAGACTCGATGAGTCACATGGGTGTACTCGACGAGTTGTATGAACATGTGCATGGACTCGACGAGTTGGAAGAACAACTCGGCGAGTCTGTTGAAGATTGCCTTGGACTCGGCGAGTCTGTTCTTGGACTCGACGAGTTTGGTCGTGGAACCCTAACCTCTTTTGGTTAAAGCTTTGGATCGGTGAGTCGAGGGACGACTCTGTGAGTTGAGCAGGATGAGACTCGGAGATCATTGGACTCGACGAGTCTTGGGGCGACTCGGCGAGTTGAGTCGTGTTGTGGGAGGTTCTGAGTATAGGAACTCGACGAGTCGATGGGTTGACTCGACGAGTAGAATCCACCAGGAAGGTTGACTTTGATTGAGGACTTTGACTTTGACCTTCAGGGGTATTATGGTAATTTGGATATTTATGTCAATGGTTATTGATGGATATAGGTGTTGTAGTTTGAGGCAGTGCTTCAGGATTGTGCTCTCGTGATTCGGTTCGACAGTTGCAAGGTGAGTTATCCTCACTATATCAATATGGTCTAAGGCACCAAGGCCGACCCTTTTAGTTGTTATCATGGTTACAGTATGCTACATGTGGTTATGATATGTTAGATCGGTATCTAGATAGACAGTATGTTGTCATGCTCTTATGATCCATTAGGATTGGTATGTTAGTGACCTGGTTAGGTCGGTGTTTTGGTTATGAGAGATTACTATGATTGATGATCTGTGAAATAGTTATATTTGATATCTGTACGTGTACTGTTTGATGTGCTTATTGATCTGTTTAGATCGGTGTCGTGGTAATTAGGACAATATGATGTTAGTGACCTGGTTTAGGTCGGTATCCTGGTATATAAGATGATGTTATGTTAGTGGTCGGTTAGGTTGGTATCCTGGTTAGGATGTTGATATGCTATGTGATCTATTAGATTGTTTGTCTTGTTAAGGATTTGTTACGTGATTAATTGTTTTATGTGCACATAGTTGTTTGATAGGGGTTGGGTTGCGGCGGGTCCTGCTTTGTGCTGTACGCCAACATACCCAGGGAAGACCGGATATTCCGAAGGCCCAACGAGCGGTCCGGATAGGATAAAGGCCCCAAGAGGGCGTACCAGACGTGCCGAGGCTCGGAGAGTGGACCAGGCCGACTGAAGGCCTGGTGTGGGCGGACCAGTCATACTGTAGACTTGATGTACATGGCTAGACTCGGAGAGTGGACCAGGTGGACTGAAGGCCCGGTGCGGGCGGACCAGTCACACAGTAGACCCGATGTGCATGGTTGTTCTATTTGTGATATGTTATGAGTATGTTGATGTGTGGTTGATATTTTGGGGGTAACTCACTAAGCTTTCGGGCTTATAGTTCAATGTATTGTTTCAGGTACTTCAGGAGATCGTGGCAAGGCGGCGTGATCGTACCGCTCCTCATGTTTTATGATTTATGTGATATGGTTCTGGAGGATACTCTGATGTTTAAACTATTTTGAAAACATTATGTATGAACTTAATGGTTTTTTAATGAATTAAAATGTTTTAATTTGGCTAAAATTTTATGGGTGTTACAAACGAACACTCGCTCACTTCTATGTCTATATCACTAATAAGAAGGAAAAATACCTCACAAACTTAATTGGTTGAAAAAGATGATAAGTATTATGTTGGATTTCTATGTATATATATATATATATATATATATATATATATATATATATATATATATATATATATATATATATATATATATATATAAGATGACGCTTAGCTCTCTCAGTATACTAAGGGGCTGTTTGTTTACCTCTTAATTGTAAAAATTAAGAGGCGATCTCTTAAAAATTCAGATTCAGATCGTTTGTTTTCCCCTTATTTTTCACCTCTTAAACTTGTAAATACCTCTTAATTTTTCAGATATTAAACAACATCTGAATTTAAAAAAAAGAGACGCGTTCCTATTATGCCCTAGACATCGACCCTTCACCAAAACACGCCTCCTCTTCTCCTCCCTCTATGCGTTCTTCTTCCCTTCACCCCGATACGCCGGCGAAGCTGCTCCCCGACGACAACGCCTGAAACACCGCCGCCGCCGGTGTCTGGAACGACAGTTCGCCTCCAGTTCCGACTACACCTCGACGTAACCTCTGACTACACCTCGACGCAACCTTCTCCTGCAGCAGCTCCGCCTCCAGCTCTAGTTGCAGGTTCGATTCTCGTTCTTCCTTTATGAATAATTCCTTTGATTTTAATCTGAGCTCTAACTTCCGACAATAGATTGATTAATTATGCAAGTTTCTTATTGACTGATATGGGATGATTTTTGTATTGATTGACTATGCAGGCTGGATCCACTTATCACAAAGAGTCTGATAATCGACTATCACAAAGACACAAACAAACCGATTCTTAGAAATATATGGTTTTCTTCTTCTTCTTTTTTTTTTTTTTTTTTTTTTTTTTTTTTTTTTTTTTTTTGCCCTAGATAGAAGATGATAAAATTTGATAAAAACCTGTAATT